TCAAGAATAAGACAAGGTTGTCTGCTTTCAAATTTAATTCAACATTACTGGACAGCCTAGTGATGTAATATTGCAAGAAAAAGAAATAAAAGTACACAGGCTGAAAAGGAAGAAAGCTGTATTTGCAGACAACATGATTATATTCGTAGAAAACCCTAAGGAATCTACAAAAATGCTGCTAGAACTAATAAGATACAAGGCCATAAGATACAAAGTCATTATACCAAAATCAGTTATATTTCTATATGCTATCAATGAACAATTGGAAAATAAATTTTTAAAATATCCATTTACAATAGTATAAAAATTTTAAAAACTTAGAAATAAATTTAACAAAACATTTGTGAGAACCATGCACTGAAAAACTACAAAACATTACAGAGGACAATTGAAAATCTAAATCAATGGGTAGGCATACCATGTTCATGGATTTGAAGATTCATTATTGCTAGAGTGGTATTTCTCTCCAAATTGACTAGATTTGGCACAATCCCAGTTAAAATTCCAATCTTAAGAAATTAGAAAAAGAGAGCAAATTAATTCTAAAGTAAGTAGAAGGGTGAAAATAATGATAAAGTGAAATAGTGAAATGGACATTAAAAAAATCATTGAAATTAGAAGGTTGTTCTTTGAAGGGATCAATAAAAATTTTAAACTTCTAGCTAGACTAATCAAGAACCACAGAAGAAATAGAAAACTTGAATAGGCCTATGTGAACAGTATATAACAATATATGACCAGGTGGGAGTTTTCCTCGTAATGCAAGATTTGCTCAACCATAAAAGAAAGTGTGAACCATAAAAGAGAGAAAAATGTTGAAATGGACAGCACGAAGATTAAAAACTTCTGTTGTTTGAAAGACACATTTAAGAAGAGGACAAAGCACCCTGCCTGGTGTGGTTCAGTTGGTTGGGCATCTTCCTGCAAAACGAACAGGTCAACAGTTCAATTCCCGGTCTGGGCACATGCCTGGGTTGTGGGTTTGGTCCAATTTATGTTTCTCTCCCTCTCTTTCTCCCTCCTATCTCCCCTCTCTAAAAATAAATACATTCTTTTTAAAGGACAAAGCAAACCACAGATAGGGAGAAAATATTTTCAAAACATGTATCTGTCAAAGGTCTTCAACTCATAATATATAATGACCACTTACAATCAATAATAATACAATAAAAAGGCCAGTTCAAAATGAGCAAAAATCTTGATTTTCCTTCTCCATGGCTCTTTGTAAAAGGAGTTATATAACATAATTATTTTGAACCAAAAGCACTTTGCCTTTTTTGTAAAAAGACTTTACACCCATGAGATAACTTGGAACACCCTGAGGGCTTGTAAAGCTAGTTCTCAAAAACCATTGAACTAACCATCTTAACCCAAAAGAAGAAAGAACATAATAAAAAACAATCAAAAAATTTTAAAAATCTAAAAATGTTGGAAATCATTAAGTTGTGGCTAAAAGGTGTTCTTTGTCATTCTTTGTCTCTTTCACTAACATGGTACTTTAGCTTTTTAACGAGAAGCAAAAATTACTATACTTATCTACCCCTTCCTAAGAAACCCTTAACTTTTAATTGTAAGAAATAACTGTAGAAATTGTTAACAAGAAAAACTATGATTTTTATAGCCTGAATAGTATAAGTTTGGGAATAAACAATAATTAATTTTTTTCTTAATTTTAACAGTGATCCTTATGTGAGAGTGACGTTATATGACCCAATGAAAGGAGTTTTAACAAGTGTGCAAACGAAAACCATTAAAAAGGTCAGACCTAGCAGGATTCAAAAAATTTTTAAATATACTCTTTTATATGACAAAATATAAAAAATTAGTTATGTTATGTTTATTGTCTTTTAGACTTTGAATCCAAAATGGAATGAAGAAATATTATTCAGAGTAAGTATGCATTTTATTTCATTAAAACAGAAAAAAAAATTTCTTAATAGTTAGAATAACTTCTCACTTATAATATTCTAAAATGCATCTTATAAGAATTTGTCTAGATTTTTGAAAATTTAAATAGTTAAACTTAGTTCTTCTCAAGATAAATGGTCCTGGAACCATTTACTTTATTATGAAAAACCATATGTGTAAGGTAATGAAGAGGTAAAAGATCATTGTAAACCTGGAGTTATTTTATCCTAATTTAATTCTGATTTAAAGAGTATCTGGTGTGCTTATTCCAATTTAACACATTTTCATGCTTTCCCTTAAAGATTATGCAATATTTGTGTCTCTCAGTCATTTATTAAATAGACTGCTCCAGGTGAGAGATGATGAGGGCCTGCCAAAAAATGGATACCTTCCTTCCTTCAACCTTCAAGCACAATTCCCACCTTCCCCCTTATGCTGCCTCACTGTACCCTAAGAGCAACTCCAGCCAGCAGTTATTCCAGGCTTCTTGGAGGGCCCTCAAACTGGGAAGTCTCCTTATGCCTATCTGTCAGAGTCCTTAACCTCATGTTATGCACAACTGTAAAGCTATTAAGGATTTTAGCGGGATCCAATTTCACAACATAATAATATTCAACATGTATCCGAAATTATTTTATATACAACAAACCATGAAAATATGACCAATTCTCAAAAGAAAAGACAGTCAATAAATGCAAATTCTAAGATGACCCAGATATTGGAATATTCAGTAAAACCCTATAAAGCAGATATTTTAACTATTATAACTATGCTCCATGATGTAAAGACAAGTACTCTTGTAATGGATGGGAAGATAGATATTCTCAGCAGAGAAATATAAGCCATAGAGAAGAATGAATAGAAATACTAAAACAAGAATATAATATCTGAAATTTTTTAAAAAATTACTAGATGAGCTCAATAACATAATGGAAGTAACATCAAAACGAATCAGTGAACTTGAAAATAACCAGTAGAAATTACCTAATTTAAAGAACAGAAAATAAAGATTGAAAAAAACTAGTAGAGCCTGAGAGAACCTGTGGACAATATTAAAGAGTCTAATATTTGAGTCACTAAAGTCTCAGAAGAGGAAAAAGACATTGTGAAAAAAATATTTGAAGAAATAACAGTCAAATTTTCAAATTTGGTGAAAGATACGCATTTATAGATTAAAGAAGTTCAGTGAAACCCAGAGTACATGCAGAGAAAAGTATGTTCAGACACAAAATCTAATTGCTGAAATCAAATAAAAAGAAGAAATCTTGAAAGCAGCCAGGGAAAATGACACATTATACACAGGAGAAAGATGATTCCAATAACTGTGATAAAATTGTCTAAGATATGAAAGGGAAAAAAGAACAGTCAACTCAGAATTCTATATTTAAATAAGATATTCTTCAGGAATGACAGTACAGTATTTGAAGCTGAGGAAAAATAAGATAATTTATTGCCAGTAGACTTGCTCTAAAGAAAATGCTAAAGGAACTTATTTAGGTTAAAGATAAATGATATCAGTAGTAAATTTAAGCCTTCAGAAACAAAGGAAAAGCAACGGAAATAATAAATAATCTGTAATCATAATAGACTATTTTTCTCTTGAGTTTTTCTCTTTAATTGTAATAGACTTTTTTTCTCTTGAGTTCCTTAAAATATATATGGCTGTTGAAAGCAAAGATTATAACATTGGTAAGATTTTTAATTTATGTAGTTGTAATACATATTACAACCATAACATAAAAGAGTCAGGGTAACATGAACTTTATGGTTATAGGGCTTCTACATTTTACTTCAAGTGGTTCAATATTAACTATAAGAAGGTTAAGTATATATATTGTAATTTCTAGTGCAACTACTAAAAACTAATAAAGACATATAGCCAAAAAGCCAATAACAAACAAAAAACAAAGCAAATTCATCAAGAAGCCATAAGAATTCTGTATGTGCATCTAACATCAATGCTTCAAAATCATAAAGCAATAAATGATAGAAATGAAAGGAGAAATTGTCAAATACACCATTTAACTTAGAGAATTCACCACTCTCAGTATTAAGGGACAGTAGAAGTAGACAAAAGTCAATTGGTGGAAATAGACCAAAAAATTCAGTAAAATATAGAAATGCTGAACAACACTATAAAATAAGTTTTACCTACTAGACATTCACAGACTGTCCACCCCAACAATAGACTACCTAGTCTTTTCAATTACATGTGAAATATTAACTGAGGAAGCTGGGCCAAAAACTAAACCTTAACGATTTTAAAAGAATTAAATCATGTAAAGTATGATATATGACTGCGATATAATTAAAGTAGGAATCAATACACAAATATATCTGAAAAATCCCCAAATATTTGGAAGTAAGACAACATACTGCTAAATAACCCATGGGTCAGATAAGAATCTCCCAGGAAATTAAAAATATTTTAACAGAATGAAATACAAATACATTAAAGTTTGTAGAATACAACTAAATCAGTGCTTAGAAGGAAACATATAGCATCACATTACATTAGAGAAGAAGAAAGATCTTGGACCATTAATCTAAGTTTCCACTTAGAAAGTAGCATCATTCTAGAACCTATTGCCATTAAATGGATAATACAGGATACTATGAACAACTCTGTTCTCCTATTCACTAGCTTAGATGAAATGAACCAATTCTTTTAAAGACACATGCTACCAAAATTTTAATAAGTAAATTACCTGAAAAGTCCTGTATCTCTTCAAGAATTGCCTTTGAAGTTAAAAACCTCCAAACAAGGAAAACTTAAAGCCCAGATGGTTTTTCTGTTAAATTCTACCATATGTTTAAGGGATAAATAATTTCAATTTCTACATAATGCCCTTTTGAAAATAGAATAGGAAGGAACACGTCCCAATTCATTCATGATGCCAGCATTACCCTGATACCAAAACTAGACAAAGACTTTATAAGGAGATAAACTGTAGCCCTTGCTGGTGTGGGTCAGTTAGTTGGAATGTTGTCCCATATACCGAAAAGTCAAGAGTTTGATTCCTGGTCAGGGTACATACCTAGGTTGCAGGTTCAGTCCCCCGTTGGGGCATGTACAGGAGGCAGCTGATCAGTCTTTCTCTCTCATTTGATGTTTCTCTCCCTCTCTCCCTCCTTTCCCATCTCTGTAAAATCAATAAGCATGTCTTCAGGTGAGGATTAAAAAGAAAAGATGTAATTGTAGACCACTCATTAACCCTCATGACCATAGCAATATTTGTGGTTAAGTTTACTAAATGGGACCCCTTATATTCTGCAAAGGCCAGAAATTTGTCCTCAAATTACTTCTGGGTGTAAGTTTGCCTTTCCTATAAGACGAATCTCAGCCAGCTCAACAATCTTACAGAATGTGTGTTCCATAAAGATGGGAATCCACATGACATTTTATCCTCGCAGGGCACCCAATTCACAGAGAAGGAGATGCAGGAATGAGTCCTTGACCGTGGGATCCATTGGTCACATCACCTGCCACACCAGAAGCAGGCAGCCTCATAGAGCTGGGATAGCCTACTGAAGGCACAACTGAAGCACCACTGTGGAGGCAATACTCTGCAAAGATGGGATGCCAGTTTATTCATTAAATCAGAGACCTCAATATGAGGCTGTGTTCGTAGCAGAAAGTATACATGGACCCAGGAACAAAGGAGTAGAAGTAGGAGTGGCCCCACTTACCATAATTGGCAAAGACCCAGAGGAGGATTAATGTGCTTCTCATCCCTGGAACTCTGGGCTCTGCTGAGTTAGGAGTCCAACTTGCCAAAGGGAGTATGCTTTCCAATGGATGTAGCAAGGGTCCTATCAAACCAGTCCGCAGCTGCTGCGAGGGTACTCTGGACTCCTTGTATTCAGGAAACAGCAGGCAAATGGGGCTATTACTTGGTTCACCTTACAGGTAGTCATTCCCCCAGGATCTGTCTGGTTTCTGCAGGGATCAGACTGGAGAATTAAATGAACATATTATGGGAGCCACATTCGTATCCTTTAGGTCTTTTCTGGTGGTACTTATCCCTAATACGCCCACAAGGTTGCAATATTTTTGTTTGGTTTTTTTAAACAACTTTATTGAGATATAATTCACATAACATACAAAATGCTCAACATATACCGTTCAGTTGTTTTTAGTGCACAGAACTGTGTAGCCATCACCAAAATCATTTTTTGAACATTTTCTTCACCCCAAAAGAAACCCCATACATACAAGCTGTCACCCCTTTTTCCTGCAACACCTGCCCCTCTCCCATACAACCACCAATCTGCTTCTGTCTCTTAGATTCGCCTATTTTGTATACGTTGTATAAATGGTATCATACAATATGTGGTCCTTTGTGTCTAACTTCTTTCACTTAGCATAATGTTTTTAAGGTTTAATCATGGTATAGCGTGTATCAGTACATCATTTCTTTTTACTGCCAAATAATTTTCCACTGTATGAATAATCACACTTTATGTATCAGTTGATGGACATCTGAGTTCTTTCCGCTTTTTAACTATGATGACTAATGGTGCTATGAACATAACTTGTGTACAAGTTTTTGTGTGGACATAGATTTTCACTTGGAGAGGTATATACCTAGATGTGGGATTTCTGGATCATATAATGAGCTGCCAAGCAGTTTTCCAAGATGGCTGTACCATATTACATTCCCGCCAACAGTGGATGAGAGTTCTGATTTCTCCACATTTTCATCAATACTTGTTATTATCTGTGTCTTTTTATTATAGCTCTCCTTGTGGGTGTGAAGTGGTACCTAAATGCGGTTCTGATTTGCATTTTCCTATGGTTAAGGACATTGAGCATCTTTTCACAAGCTCATTTTCCAGTTGTCTATCTTCTTTGGATAAATGTCTGTTCAGATCTTTTGCCTGTTTTATAATTGGATTATTTGTCTTTTTGTTATTAAGTTGTTGTAGTTATTTATATTTTTAAATTACAAGTTCCTTGTCAGATACATGGTTTGCAAAAGTTTTCTTCCATTCTGTAGGCTATCCTTTAATGTTATTGATGGTGTCCTTTGAAGCACAAAAGTTTTTAATTTTGATTAAAAATTAGCTATTTTTCTATTATTTATCTATTGTTCTTGTCTGTTGCTTGTGCTTTTGCTGTCATTTCTAATTGATATTGCCTTAGTTTTACTATATTGACCAGAGATAGGACAGTTCAGAAGCTTTCCCTTGGCCTTCTCACTGTGAGCCCTAATCCCACAAGCCACGATGGTGGCGGTAGTAAGGAAATCCAACTTCCAGATGTCAATCCCAATTTTACACTTGAAAACCAGGGGAAAAACTCTGGGTGGATCCATAGACCCTGTGGACTCTGTAAATGCTGAACTTTAGGCAGGACTCCATTTATTATCTGGTCCCTGCAAGTCCTTGCCCTAGTAGGGAAGCCATGATGATGCTTTGGGTTTCTAGGTGTCAACATAGACCCTGTATCCAACGGTCTTCAGTTTGTCTGAGTATTCGTTTTCCTCCTTGTTCATTCCACCCAAGTAAATGGCCATAGTCCTTTGGAGGAGGAGGGGAGAAATCACTACAACACACACCTCCTGAAGTGAGGCAGAGTCCTTCCTTCTAAGGACTAGGTCACTTCTCCAGCTGATGGGCTTTGGATCAGACTATTGGCTCAAACTGGGGAACTGGACAAAGGATTGTGATTTTTTTAATTGGGAAACTCTCCTTAGCCACTCACTCATCCATTGTTGTCTTCTCACGATTGTATGTGTCAAGCCAGGTCAGCTTCACTGTCCCTCTCATCTGTCTGGTCATTGTAATAATTGCAGCCTCCTTGATTCTGGCAGTGAAGTGCCACCAGCTGGCCCCTAGAACTGGAGAAGGGGAGGATCATCTCTTTGCATGACTATTGAGGAGCCCACCTCTGTGACCTCCTCTCTGCCATCAGTCCTAGCATGCCGGAGAGAGCCACCACTGCACTTCTTGGTGGTGCCGCTGCCCCTCTCTCCAGCACACGCCTGATGGCTATGGTTAATGGTGTGTCCTCTGGGCACAAAAATCTGATAGGTATTTTGTATCTCGTCCTGCTGTGGTCACTTTCATTGACCTTTTAATTCCTCTGCCATCTGCCAGGGCAACTCAGGCATTTCTACGTGGCTCATTATTTTTTCAGGTTTCTAGGAGTCACCCTGGCAGCAAGTTTGCCTCATCTGGGGTCCTCAACAGGATGTTAAATCCCAAGTCAATGAAATCTTGCTTATCCAGTCATGTTTCCGCTCCATTGATCAAGTATTATAGTCTCCGGGGTATTTCTCTGGCTCCTGCTAGTGCATGCTCTTTCATTCTTGAAGCTGCTTCCAAATGTAATAATCTCTTTCATCTTTATCAGGCCCAGCTGGGTTATGCTGGGATTTGACACTGGTTAATTATCTTGGTAGTCAGAAGAGAAGTTATAGAAACTCCTGAGGAGAGACCCCTTTTCCTTGCGGGGATGAAGTGTCAGCAGTGTCTTCCTGCCCACAGGCTTCTGGGGGAAGTGCTAACTCTTGCTACAGAGGGATGGGCTACTCTGCCAGCTCTGAGGGTTAGGGACCTACAGAACCAAAACCTCAGGCGTATTCAACCTCAGGCGTACTTTTTTTTTTTTTTTTTAAGAGAATGAGCGAGCTTTCTAGCTGGGAAAATATTTTAATTTAGCGAGCTTAAATAATTTACCCATAGTGATGAAAAAGCCCTTGAGTCAGATTCTGAAACCCTCTCTCTGCCTGTATCATAAAATTTCACAAAAATGTAATATGGACCATACATGACTTTCTTGGTTAAAATAGTAAAGACAAGAATAAAACAAATCTACCTACTTCACTTTCAGGTGTTTTTCTCCCAAATGTATCCTCTAGATGTCTTAGGCAGACTGTACATTTATGTATGCTTTATTTTACTTAATGAACTTCAGCACCCTATGGAAGCAGTAAGAGTAATGAGAACAGTAAGGTTATTTAAACTGCTTCCTCATTATCCCTCTCATGGTCAGTAGTAAAGTTTATTTGAAAAACGAGGAAGACAGTGCTATAGCCTAGAGGCAACTGGGAAGGGAGGGGGTTCAGAGAATCAAAGAATATGGCTTTGGAGAGATAGTCAAGTCATACTGGAAATGTACGGAGTCTAACTCCAAACTTGTACCCTCCTCCCTGGCTTCAGGCTTCGATACTCCCTGATCCTCCCAGATCACCCAGATCCTCCCACTGCACACATCAGGGTCCCAGGTTTTCTCAGCCAGGGCCCCGACTTGAGCATATTAGATCTGCCGTGGCTGAGCATTTAAATGTCTGTGAGCTCTGCACCTCTGTCACATTTGAAACTGCTCCTCAGTTGTGTCCCCTTCTCTACTCCAGGAGATGCAGTCCTCTTTCTGAGATACCAGAGAGGCCCTCTGTCTCTCATATTTAACCTTTAGCTCTTTGAGTATCCATAATTTCTCACTATTTCTCTGTAGGTCAGTGACACAGCGTAGTAATAACTAGCCAACTCCATTGTTTTTGCAGGTATTGTTCTGCCTATATCTTTGAAGTGCCCTGAACATCACACTGGCAAGGGTGTTCCCCTCCAGCAGGAGATATCCCCAGGACACCACTGGAGAAATATTTAGGAACTGAGTCACCACCTTATGGCTGGGACTTTGTGTCCCACATTCAGCTCAGGATGGGGAAGGGAGCTCCTGGCCTGGCAGGTGAACTTGGGCTGGTCCTAAAACCCCCTGCCCATACCATCAGCATTGGCTTGAGCCCTGTAAGAAACAGACACCAAGATGGGAGTAAATGTGAAGGTCAAAGATGGAAGATGCACAGGTGGGGAGAGCCTTCTCATCATAATGCAGGCCTAACACCTGTGCAAGGGGAGGTATGAAAAGACTGGAGAGGAAGAGACTTATATTGCAGCTCCATTCTTAGAAAGCCTCATCCAGTCTGATGGAGAGTTTCCCAGCAAAGACTGTCTGTTAGAGAAGTCCTGTGTTGGGCAAGAATGGCTGGGCTGTTGAAACCCAACTGTGGCAAGCAAGGAGAACGTAACGGGTAGATGCCAATGTACATGATCAACTTAGGGCTGTCAATCAACTATGCTGGTTCTGTTGAAAGAGATCTGAAAGAGATCGGAGTGGCTCAACTCTGGCTGTTACAATTGAGATGTTTAAGGATGTGTGTTATAATCCTCAGAGCAGCTACTAAGAAATTGAAATAAAATTATAGGTAAAAATCTAATAAAGGAAATAAAATGGAATACCAAGAAGTACTTGATTAATATTTTTAAGGGAAGAAAAGAGGAATAAAGACAAATAGGGAAAAAATAGAATGATGATAGTCATAAAAGCCAGCCATCTCAATAATTTTTTAAAAAGCAGGATTCAACTATATGATGCTTACAGAATATACAACCTGAGTATAAAGACACTGACAAGTTAAAAGTAAAAGTACAGAAAAAGATTTATCATGCAAATATGAAGCTAAAAAACCCCCAGACAAAACTCTGATGTGTTTGTCTTAAAATTGGATGAATTAGATTTCAGGATGAAGAGTATTACCAAAGATAAAGAGGCACATTTCATGATCATTAAAGGGCTTACTTATCAAGAAAATATACAATCCTAAATTTGAACCTAATGGAAGAGCTTCAGAATTATGAAGGAAAATTGAAAAGACTAAACAGGGGAATAAATAAATCCAGATAGTTGAAGATTTTGTTACTCCCCTCTCAATAATTGGTAAAATGACCAGGCAGAAAAAGTCAGTAAGTACATAAAATATTTGAAAAACACTATCAGTAAATTTAACCTGTTCGACATATATAGAACATTACTTCTAATATCTGAAAAATATACATTTTTATATGTCCATGGAACATCCACCAGGAGAGATCATACATGGGACCATAACAAGTCTGAATACATTTTAAAGGGCTTAGATTCAACAGAATATGTTCTCTGACTACAA